CCCCAAAACCCCAAAACCCCAAAACCCCAAAACCCCAAAACCCCACTATCAAACAAGTGGTTGAGATTATATTTTATTATATAATGATTTCAAAATATGGCCTCAGACACACAAGGTTGTTCATGCAGCATCCTTCAAAAGTGTTAAAACAGCCAGCATTTGCAAGAGTGTAAGTGAATTTTAGTAAAAATGTAGAATGGCTAACTCAAATCCTATTACAAGACATTTCAGGTCAAGTAATGTGCTTTGCAGTTCAAAGAAGGATGAGGATAAATTAAATAATCGACTAAAATCATTGCCAAGTGACCATGCTGCCAATATGTCTTCTGCAGATCTCTTCGGGTTCAGAGAAGTGAAAAGAAATAGCATTAAGAACGAGAAAGGAATTACAGAAAAATTCGAAATCTTAAAACAGGAAAGGATTGATAAAGAAAAGGACCAAATTGAGCAAGGATTTAAGAACAAATCTTTTACTCAAAGCGAGAGAGATGAGCTTTTGGAAAAACTAGACCAGATTACTCAATCTCAAGGGCCTGCCTCTCAAGGATATCCTGAGGACAGGAAAGAGCACCTCTGGATTATGCAAGGGATGAAGGAATATTATCTTGAAAATCAGACTCTTGCTGAGAAATTCATCAATGATAAACATTTTAAACAAGCTCAAAACAATGTTGTGCAAGATTTCAATAGAAAAGGGACTAATTATCTTAAAAGACGCCAAATTTCAGAGAATCTAAACTTAGCTGATAAAGGGCTAGATAGTAAAGAGGAGATCTTCCATGCTTTGGGGAAATTACTCGCAAGCTCTGAGAAGAAGTACCTCCCTAAGAATGTGACTAAAGAACACTTTAAAGGAAGACTAGATCTTCAGGTCGACAATCATTACCTTAACATTCTTGAAAACCACCCTGACTTGATCAGGAAAAAGCTGAAAGAAGTCCTATTAGCCAAACTGAGGAGAACCCAGAGAAGACTCAAGACTCAGAAAGAGGACGAATCAGCTTTGGTTGGAGAAGATGAATTTATAGGAGAAGACGAAGTAATTATTAACCACAAATTAGAGCCAGAAGATCAAATTCAACATGAGATCTTAGAACCATCTTCTATAGAGAATGAGGATTATGTACCCTCCAGGATCAATGAGTATGATCTACATAAGCTTACTCATGGAGAAGATGCCAAGAGATCTCCAGTTAGTTATGAAGAAGAGTTAATTCAGAAAGCCGATAAGGCCCAGGAAGTCTTGATGCATAATAGAAAGATGACTCAAGAGTACTACAAAGGAGTTGAAGGGATTGATTTCACTACTATCGATTATAGAAATGATATTAGAATCCTTTTCAATAAGTACCAATTGAGAGAAGCAGCAGAGAATCCAGAATTTAATACCCCTGAAATGAAGGAATTCAGAAAAATTTTGGATGAATTCAACCCTGAAGAAATGCCTCCATATCCAGGAAGTCCTACAGGAGCTACGAAGGAGGAAGACCCACATGCGTTCTTTGAGTGGGCTATTAGAAATCTCCCTCCAAGTCTTAATGAGAACTTGAGAAAGTTTTATAATGTGAGAGTTAAAGGCAAGAAGAAGGATACCAACGAGAAGACAATGAAAGGAGTCAGGAAGCATCATGGTACTGAATGGTACTACTTCATGAACACTGACAAAAAGTTCAGACTTGAAGACCAGGATAGCATGCCTTCTTGGGATATCGTGGAAGACCCAAACCTCATCGAATACAGCTACAGTTCTATGAAACCAGCTCAAGAACTGGATGTTGACCCAGAATATTGCTATGACTATGATGACACTGATAGAATGATCGACCCGATCGATCTCTCTAAATTTGGGTACAATAGCAAGGGAGATAGGATAAAGTTGATGGATATTACAGATATTCCAAATAACTTCGACTGGGAATACACCCAAAATTGCTTGAAGACTGAAAGATGGGCAACCTTCAGATACGCTCCAAACCTATTCTATCAGTTTGCTCACTTAAAGAAGGAGATCAAGATACTGACTCGCAGACATGGAGATGTTGAAACTCCTTCCTTGTGGGCTTACTTCGAGACTATGCCTTCTTGGGCTACTGACCATCCCTTTGTTAGACAGGTGCTGATGGGGATTGAATATAACAAGCCATTCGAGAGGCTGAAGGATAAGGAACTAGCATTAAACTTTGCAATGTCTCTCTTAAAGCCTATTGATAAGGACACCGAGAAGATACTGCTTATTATGAACGATACTCGTAGAGTTAAGATGAATTATGAACGTGGTAGACAGATGATGACTGAGATTAAGCCATGGGACCTTGAATTCGGCCAACTTGGTTCCCCAGCCCACGCCAATATGGAAGATAACCAGGAGGAAGAAGAGGCTGAGGTCAAGAAAGATGCTAAAATTGAAGAGTTTGAAGCGCTTCAGGCTGCAGAAAAAGCCAAGAGAAAGTCTAAAGTTATTGATGAGACTGAAGCAATTAGGTCTTTCCAAGTTGATGATGGAGGTCAAGAAGGTCTCCAGGACTTCTTGATTAAGCCAAACCCAGATCCTTATGAGATTGGTCAGGAGAGTGAGGATATGCTGTATCCTATCAATTATTATGACAATGATGACGGGTTCTGGGATGACCATATAGATGCAAAGCAGAATCAATACGACCAAACTCCATTTATGACCAAGAGGCTTTTCTTGAAGCATTAAAGATTTATTTGATTTTATGCCTCTACTTAAAGTTTTAGTGCGGGGTTTTGGGGTTTTGGGGTTTTGGGGTTTTGGGGTTTTGGGG